CTAGTTAAACCCATTCCAACATGGCTGCTTTAATTCGATTCCCCGAGTCTCCACTGGAACCTCCACTTGTAGAGACATCACTAGAAAACATGTCAAAAGCTCTATAAGTCTGCTTATTGCCAGAGTTAATCACATTGAACATCAAGGATGATAGAAACTCAATTTATTTGGAGTAATTAGATTGCAAAAACATGTTACTAAGTGTGCAGTAATATGTCACCCAATAAAAGCACTAAGCGTTTAAACAAATGTTGCTATCAACAGCGAAAGCGGATTCCAAGCACGACAGAAATTGAAAGAAACCAAAAATGCAGTTTTCTTAAGAATGATTTCAGAAGGTTGCTATACAACTGTGATATTGTATGAATTCCCAGGGCACGTGGACCTATCAATTTGCAGTAATTGGGGCATCATAAACAGACAAATACTCAACTGCTTGGCTCTATAAAACAAGAAGCCAATGATCATAATATATCAAATAATGACATCAAACAAAGATCCTAACCATTATGTAATAACATTCAAATGTTAATATGCAATTCAATGATATCTCACAGAGAATATGTGGATTTGTATTTACAACTATGATAGAATTTGAAAGCGTGATCTCAGAAATCACAGGAAACAATAAAATCAGTTATACTTTTTTCATTGCCATAATTAATATTAGAGGATGCAATCAGATATTTGGGATAGAATGTTTCATCAATACCACTAATATAACACTTATTTTCCTTGTCATGATGTAAAACATTAAATATACGAAATATTCAAAATATGTCATGATGTTCATAAAACTGACACTAGCAAAATAGCTTTGATTCTAAGAGAATAATTTACTGTCTATAAAACTATAAAAATGTGCCAACACTCCTGAATGTGGTCTATAGGAATTCAAATTAGATTTAGATTTTCAATTATGACATCGCATTGGATTAAGACGACCATGTCAGTCAAGAGGTGAAATATAAATTAGTGTCATGGATAATTCTATTCATGAGTTTCTATGAAACTGTTATGGGGATTGTGTGTTAGTCGAGAGACAAATTAAAGTGAATGATAATGGAATCATAGAAGGAAAGTGTTATCATTCAGCAGACTCACATTTTAAAAAGGAAACATCGCAGTGTTCTCCACAGGATTTTTTCTCAAGTGGGTGCAAAATTCTCATTTTCACAATTTAGACCAAAATTGGTAAAAAATACTCATTTTTCCTGATTTTTCACATTTTCAAGTGGGTGCAAATGAATTTTCAGGTGGGCGCAAGCCTGTTTTTAAAATCTCAGATTGGAGCTGCTTCCACTGGCAGAATGTTTTATAACATTTCCTTGATATATGACACCATGCATTCAGCAAAATTAATGTTATTTCCTCAATCTACATATAAATACGTTATGCACATAAGTCATACTTTGTGAAAACATTCATGAAATCGCAAAATGTTTTTTTACATTTCCCTGATCTAGCTCTATAGCGCCATTAACAAAATGTTATTTCCTTAATCTACATGTGAATAGAAACAATCACAATGCACAGATCCATAATTTGTAAAAACTTTATTTCTCGAATTTCTAGAAAAGGGTGAGGAGAGAGATTTCCAGGGAAAAGCAGACCCCTCTCTAAAAAGCTTGTCAAGGCCTGCCAGTGCAGGTTACACATGCATGACGGAAACAAAACGATGCATTTACACTAATTAGTGCGGTACGATGAAACAAGTCGAATGAACCACTTAACAAATACCATAGAAAGTATATACAAACTGCACTCAATCACTAGATTTGTACGAACAAATATTGGAAGCGACCATGATTGTTAATGCATAGTTACTATACATACATTTATGTTTTTTACTGTTAAAACAAATTAGAGTAATAGGTATTGAAAATAAGGTTACATAGTTACAAAATCTCACTAGCTAATTGCACTTAGTGTTAGAGAGGTTGAAAACTAATTTGCCACAGTTCATTGTCATGATAACCCATGATCGATTAAGAATCTGACTTGTTCAAGTCATAATTCATAACACGTTATATTATAGCAACGTCTGTATTAAATATGTGCTCGCTGTTCAGTTTCAAGTCAATCTTAACTTTACTTCTAGTTAGTTATTTCCCATTTTTTCATTCCATGCTTTTTCACAAAAAATCTGTAAGTCCCATCATTTTTAGCTATTGTAACATATTTTGCCTTATATCTGAATCTAAGCAAATTAATATATGTCTATTTCACATTATTCGACCTTTATTTCTTGAGGTTTGCAGAATAAGGGAAAACCAAATTAGAAAAGTCAAGGAATTTTAGTCAATGACGACAACAGATGACAGAAATGTTTGGATCAAGAAAAACCTCATAAAGCTTTTCATTTGAGATATGTCCTAACATATAAAATATATAATTAATAATTAAGACAATAATGTTTACATTTCAAGCAATACTTCACATGCCCCCTGTAGTTGTAAAAACACACAAGAACACAAATGTGTACAATATGTCCCCACCTATGGGTGATCCTGTCAAATGGTTATCCTAAAAATGAGTAGACAAGACTTTACCGACACAATTTGAGGACGGAGAATCCAAAATGGCCACCTTAAAATTTACCAAGAATGCCCAAAAATTAGTCAGTTCTAGATTTTCATACTAAGAACCACCCCTGAAAATTTGAAATTGATCCGTCACACAGTTAACCAGAAAACATGTAAACAAGACTTTACAGACACGATTTGAGGACAGAAAATCCAAAATGGCTGCCTTGACATTTATCCAGAATGCCAAAAACTAATCTGTTATAGATTTTCATACTAAGAATCATCCCTGAAAATTTGAAATTGATCTACCAAACAGTTCACCTGGAAATGTGTAGACAAGACTTTACAGACGAGATTTTAGGACAGAAAATCCAAAATGGCTGCCTTGACATTTACCCAGAATGCCCAAAAACTAATCAGTTCTAGATTTTCATACTAAGAATCATCCCTGAAAATTTGAAATTGATCTACCAAACGGTTCACCTAAAAACGTGTAGACAAGACTTTACGGGCAAGATTTTAAGACGGAAAATCCAAAATGGCTGCCTTGACATTTATCCAGAATGCCGTAAAAATAATCAGATCTAGATTTTCATACTGAGAATCATCCCTGAAAATTTCAAATTGATCTACCAAACAGTTCACCTGAAAATGCGTAGACAAGACTTTACAGACAAGATTTTAGGACGGAAAATCCAAAATGGCTGCCTTGACATTTACCCAGAATGCCCAAAAACTAATCAGATCTAGATTCTCATACTAAGAATCATCCCTGAAAATTTGAAATTGATCTACCAAACGGTTCGCCTGAAAATGCGTAGACAAGACTTTACAGACAAGATTTTAAGACGGAAAAATCCAAAATGGCCGACAATAAAAAAGTGATTATGAGTTTTTGCTGAAATCTTTTTACAAAATTATCACATATAACTACTGTTAACAATAACATAAGCTTTTACAACAAAGTACACCTGAAATTATTTATAAAGCTACTAAAAAGTTAAAGTATGAAAACTGAAAAACACCATTCAATATGATACAAAGTATTATCGTGCGCTAACTTTTCTTAAAACATTCAAAATGGCTGACATGACTGAGCTAACAGGTCCAAAACCTAATCAGATCTAGAATGAAGTGAGCTGAACAAGATGTTAAAGTTTTAAAAGCAACTGTGAAGCCATTTTTCTTAAAGTTTGCAGACAAGGATTTTAGCATTTGACTTCAAAATGGCCGACAGGAAGTAGGTATTGAGTTAATTTTTTTTTCATCCACATCTGTATGCACTCATAAGTTATCCCTGAAAATTTGAAGGTGATATCTGTAGCGGTTTTGGAGAAAACTGCCGGACGTACGGACGGACAGACAGACGGACAGACAGACGGACGGACAGACGGACGCGCCTAGGCCGACAATATGGCCCCACACTATGTGGTGGGGACATAAAAACATTAACAGTTTGTGATAATGCAAACATAAAAAGAACATGATTACTATGTAATGCTTGGGGAATTTAAGAGTCAATAACCGTATAAGGTAATGTAGCGTGATGTCACAAAGTAGCCATATAAGGGTAATCAACACATGTGTCAAGATGTAATTTTATTGTTTACCAATACAAAGATTTAAGATCACACAGTAATCTACAATGACATTAAAAGCATCCAAGGAGAAAACTAGAAAACTCTTGAATAAAATAGCAAATAATCCTGCAGAAAATAACGTGGAAAGGAGAGGAATCAATGAGGAATAGAAATGAACTTGGATGAAATTCAGACACCATATTACACAAAAATGATAAAAACAAATACTTCAATCAACAGGATGAAGAGAATAGTAAAATACAACATAAGTAAAGTAGTTTGGTTGAAGAATTTGTAATTTCCTTGTAGAGAAGTTAGTTAATTTTCTTGATGACAAGTTGATTTATATGAGGTCCCATATAACTTCTGCAACAGTTGTGATTTCATTACACCTTTTAATAAGTTTCTTTGGGAATATAATGAGTGTTCATTTTTCGTGAGATTTGGCGATACCATATTTGATTAATGTTCGTAGGCACTTAAGTTTTTTTCAGAAATAGATTGTTTTGAAATTGTTTTGTTTATTAGGCATTCTGACTCATGGGTAAATAAAAAATAACTTGAATATCACAGGGATGAAAAACTGTTACGCAGATCATGACAAAAAGACTTGATATCATCACTTTAAAAATCAACCAAACTCTCCTTAAAACATGATAAAATGGAATTTTGGAAAAAAAAACAAAGAGACACACATGTTAACTCATGATACCATTTCAAAATATCAAATAAAATCCCCTTAAAATATAACAAATTCCATTTTAGAAAAGTCAAAAAGACAACCATGTGAAACTACCATCATTATTATGTAAAAATCCAAAATCAAGCTATTTCTACCAAAACATCACAAATTCAATTTTGGAAAAGTAAAAAAGGTAATCATAGGACTTACCATTGTTATTGTCATAATCCAATGTATCTATGCTTAGAAATGGATCATTATCATCAAAAGCAAACATTTCAGTTTGTAATTGTTGTTGTTTTTCAAAGTCTTCGATAAATACAGGATTATGCACCAAGTCCCAGTGCTTTTCCCATTGTGAGAATTTCCTGTAAAGAGCTCCGTTCCAAAACATGTTTATATTTAATCTGTCTTTTATTCGCTTGCGTGCAAAGCGCATGTATTTTGTTTTCGCTGATGGGGGGTGTATTGTTCGCCCCTGGGATGTTACTCTGTTGTATAATGTTCCTGTATATTGTGACTGGCTCGATGGGGACCTGTTATTATATAACGCCTTAGTCCCTGTATACTGTGCCTGGCCCGATAGTGTCATTGTGTCCTCTTTCAAGTTGCGCTCGCTTATTTAACTCGAACGTAACAATGTCTCCTACTTATACAATAGCTCGGCTTTTGAGTGGTATTCATTATGACTCCTAAAGTGAATCTAAATCTATACTCGATAGGGCCCTTAATATTCTACTGCTCAACTCTGACTATCCTATATGAACTGCAAATCAGATTGCTTTAGCTGACTACTGGTATTGGACATTATTGCTAAAAATGTCCGTCTGCTCTTGCTTATTCCACTCAATTTCTCTCTAAAATTTGAATAAACCATCTGATTTTCTTGCATTTCCATATAATTTAAAGTGTTAACTAAATGCCTGTTTACTTTATTCTGCGTTTTCCTACTGGTCATAACTCCATTTCGCACTTAGAATCATGACCATAATAATGTTGAATTCCAGGATCTACTGCATCGGCCGTAATTTAACTTTGATCTCATAGATTTGTGACTTACTGCCACATTTGCCAAGATTTGATTAGGAACATAGATTTTCTTCCAAGGAAAAAATTGTCTGATCAATGATGTATTACCTCTCTGGACATGAAAATAAAATAATGACTAATTACGATCTCAAGATCAATGTGTTTGGAGATCAGTCATCCCTTATAATAAAATCACATCACAAACAGATCAAGAACCGTTTAAATGCTTAGTACTCAAATTCTATAGTATTAACAAATTACATGTATCTTATTTCGACAAACTATAGTACTTATGATGTAGAAATCTTAATCACAGTTCTTGGGAATTTCCTGTTTTTCTTGATGTTTAGCAGGACTTAATGTCACCACCATGTTTAAACGTAAACCATGATACCATGGTATACTATGGTTTACCATGGTCTATCATGATCGGCAATGAAATTACCATCAACTCTGACCATGGTGGCAATGATGTTTTTTTGGTCAATTTTTGACCATGGTATACCATGGTATATCATGTTATACCATGTTTCATGGTATTTCATGTCCAAAGTTTGCCATCAAATACCATGGTATTTCATTGCCATGTTCCTGACCATCATTTACCATGGTATTACCATGGTATATCATGGTTGATTGCATTTCATGGCATTTCATTGTAAGATGTGATAATCAAATACCATGGTATTTCAATGCCATGTTCCTGACCATAATTTACCATGGTATATCATGGTTGATGGCATTTCATTATAAGATGTGACAATCAAATACCATGGTCATACCATGGTATTTCATTGCCATGTTCCTGACCATCATTTACCATGGTATTACCATTGTATATCATGGTTGATGGTATTTCATTGTACAATTTGACAATCAAATGTCATGGTCATACCATGATATTTTATTGTTATGTACCTGACCATCATTTACCATGGTATTACCATTGTATATCATGGTTGATGACATTTCATGGCATTTCATTGTACCGTGTGACAATCAATTACCATGGTCATACCATGTCATTTCATTGCCAAAATCATAACTCTCATTTATCATGGTTTAATCATTGCATTTCATGGTTGGTGGTATTTCATGGCATTTTATTGTCAAACCTCACCATCAAATACTATGGTCACACCATGGTATTTCATTACCATAATCATAACTATCATTTATCATGGCATATCATTGCATTTCGTGGCTGATTGTATTTCATAGCATTTCATTGTCAAACCTGACCATCAAATACCATGGTTATACCATGGTATTTCATTGCTAAAAAGAACTCTACAAGGGTCTCTGTGACCTACTGTGTACAATGTCATCATATACTGAGTACTTTGTCACCACCTACTGAGTACTATGTCACTACTGAATAAGGAATTGATGCAAATATGTCCCTACTGTAGACATTTTTTTTATTAATGGGTCTAAAATTAAAGTACCTCAGATAAACATATAGATGATGTAATGTTATGAGTCTGTCATTAACAAACAAAGACTGTTGTGTGATTTATAAAAAATATAATTTCTAAATATCCTAACAGGAAAAAATATAGCTATTATAGACATATATCTAAGCGCTATTCAATCTATGTCATCTTGTTTATTACATGGCTTCAATTTTTATCTGCCAGAGCACCGAGCTGTTCCAAGTTATTATCTGAACCTCTAATCAATTAAGTTGATATCAATAAATGATCAGATCCCATTCGTAGAATTATACAGAGACCTTATTCAAGGTGCTTTTTCTCGTGAATATCATCAGATTCAATTCCTGGTCTCCTATTATGCTCCGTGTTATAAATATGGCGATACAGTTAACGGTTATTGTCTTTCAAGAGTCACAATTCTTAATATATTTCAAAAACAGCATACCAAGCTTTCTTTGGAAATACCATAGACGAGGTAGATTGAGACGCAGGCGCCGGGTTAAGATAAGTGGACCAGGTTTCATGAAGTCATTCTATTCATATATTTTTTATTATATGATATAATAGTGCATTAGTGAAATTCATTTCTTCTGGGTGAATATCCTTATGGTATCCTAATTCACTGTACTTTAAGAAATAAGTATAAGAATAAAAGTATGAATAGAGCATTTCTTTAACCTTAGCTCAGGTAATGAAATATTTATCTAATTATGTAAATACAAACTAAATCAAAGAAATGTCTCCGTATCAATCAAACATGGCCTTCATCTTTTTATACCTAATATATTTCACTTTGTAATGTTCTTTTTATAGTTTGATCACATTAGGATTTTCATAATATCATCAAATCTATCCTGGTTTGTATATATACAGTATATACATCATGGTTTATTAATCATAATGGTATTGAATTCATACTTTTTGGAAACAGTATAGCCTAAGTGCCATCATTCCATTTACTGGGTTTTTATTCCAAGTATGTTTTTGTAGAATGTCCTATAAATTGACGAGACCCTGGATATTAGCCAGTAACCTTGGTGACTGTTTTTATTGATGTAAACAAATCCAAAAATAATGCCTCTTAATTATTTAAAACTCATCTTTAAGATAATACGATGAAGGGAGCAATATAAATGGTTGTTGAGTTGAGGAAAGAGGTTGTTTGGAATAATGGAGGACTTCAACAGGGGTCTGTACAAACTACAGCATAGAAAAAAAAAACCTGAACAATATCGCACCTAAAATTAAATATGGCTGCCTTCAAATTTACCCAGCATTCCTTAAATTTAATCAGTTCTAGATTGTTTTACAAGGAAAATTTCCAATCAATCTTTGAAGAGGTTTGTCTGGAAATATGCAGCTAAGAAAAATTAGGATGCCACCACAGGCCAAGCTTATGAGAATATCATACCTAGTTTTAGGTGCAATAAGAAACTTTTTGGTATAAAGGTCAAAACAAGACAATCAAAAGAGCTGAATCGAATACTCATAATCATTTTTACATATATATTATTTCATTTAGCAGGAGCTATAAATCATACCAAATGGGGGATTTTGTTATCCATGAATGTAATTTCAATATCAAGAATTTTCAAATGAGGAAGGGAATGAGGGTGGGTGGTAAATCTCAAATGAACTTTTACAAGAATAAACAACAATGAGATTTTGAACTGGTCCCTTAATAGCTTGTTCAATTTCAGGAAACTCCCTTTAGAAATGCACTTGTGTGTGCTTTTCAGATTGAAGTTACGTTGAAATAATTTGATCAAATCAATTCTGAAATCAAATTTTGTTTGAAGTATCATCATTCTAAATTGAGATTCGAGTGAAATGATTAAATGATTTTGGTTATTTTTGAAATGTATGTAGACTTTGTAAGCTTCACATTCTAAAACCTGTCTCGCGATGCATTCCAAAATACACGTCACCTTTTTTAACTTTACCTCTCTCCCACAAAGAGAGCTGCAGAGTTAAAAGAGAAAACTGCGAACAATGAAACCCCACCATGTTTTAATATCATTAATAATGATATAATAACTTAATGGATGCTCAATATACGCCTTATTTAATGGCTTCAAAGTTCCGTATCTTCCGCAAGATATCCGTACAAATAGAGATAAATACATCAGGAACATCTATTAATAAATACACACACTTCATACTGCACGTTAAACAGATTAAAGACTTATTAAGCACTTTTGTACTGTACCTTTCCAATGATGTTTTTCTAAATCCACATGCAGTGATCACAATGTGTGTGATGTATGAGGCAATATGAGAAACCAGACTCATAGAACACAGAGGGCCCTGATTTTGAGCTCATTGGAGTAGGCAATGCTTGTTTTGTTTTTCTTAAGAATTCACCATATTTAAATACTAAATACTTTATGCAAACCCTATGATGTTAACGTTTTGACCATAGAATATTTTCATAAAAAGGAAAATCCAAAATGGGAACTTTGTGTGTTACCATTTCGAACTGAAAACTTCGTCAAGGTGCTCATACAATACCATCCTTTGTCTAAAGCTTAACGTAATAATCTTCATCAGCAATTTGCTTGGTATTGAAGATGAGCAAACCCTGAATTTTGTTTATTGTTATATGGACGAAATAAGAAATAAAAAAATACAGGGTTTACCCATCTTCAACACCAGACATATTGCTGATAAAGATTATTACGTAAAGCTTTAGACAAAGGATGGTATTACGCTAATATGTTAGTAGTCAGTCTGCTCTAATTGAGTGATCGAAAAAGTCGGCCCCTCTAATCAACTTAGCTGTTGAAATCAAATTTTGGTGACAGTCGAGTTGGGACCAGTGATCTTGGGGGAGTGCAATGTCAAGCAAGGTAAATATATCATTGCTTATGAAGTTGGAAGTTTAAGAAGTGCCTTCTCAGGAAGAACATTTGAATCAGAAGGCAGGGGAAAATATTCCAGGAAAACAACAACAACCAAAAACAATACCCTTGAAAACAATTTAGCTGCACTCAGTATACAAATGACAAACAGTAAATACAAAAATTAGAACTGTCACAGAATAAAGCAGATTAGCAAAAAAACAACTCTGACCTAAATATGAATGTAGAACAATCAGATGATCATTTGAATAATGAGAGGGATTATTGATCTAAATGAGCATATCTAGGTGGACATTTTATATACTGGATTTACACTGAACTGGCAATTGAATACATTAATGTACCAATGTATCAAAACATTATAAAAAACAACAATAGCTGTCTAGTAGTCTTCAAGATAAAAAATAGTATAAATTAATGGCCCCCTCTAAAGTTTGAACTACTTTGGCTTTTGTGATAGCCTTGATATAAATTGTGATATTGCAAAT